GAGAGGGAGTCCCTGCCCCGGCTGCTGCTGCCAGCTGGGTGATGGCAAAGATTGCCCCAGTGGCACCCCTCTCCCAGGCCAGCGCTGCTCCCCGCAGACCTCCCAGATGTTTTGCTGGGCCCAAGGCAGACTGTGATAACCCATCATGACCAGGCTGTCACCCCGGGGGGATGCCTCCACACCCCAGCACTACTGGGGCTCCTCTTACCCTCCTTCTGCCCATAGGACTGGGGTTCTCCCTGCAGCCCTGGGGGAGATCCGCTGTAGGGGACTGGGATGTCTGAGTTTTATCATCACCTTGGGGAAGGGGCTGGAGGATTCCTAAGTTCAGGGTGGGACAGTGCACTGGCCTTTGTCCCCCTGATGACACTGCAAGATCCCCATGCGGAAGAAGGTACAGGGCTGGTGGGGTTGGGAAGGTTGCTGGAGGGGTGAGGAAGATCCGCCCTGGGGGAGATCCGCTGTAGGGGACTGGGATGTCTGAGTTTTATCATCACCTTGGGGAAGGGGCTGGAGGATTCCTAAGTTCAGGGTGGGACAGTGCACTGGCCTTTGTCCCCCTGATGACACTGCAAGATCCCCATGCGGAAGAAGGTACAGGGCTGGTGGGGTTGGGAAGGTTGCTGGAGGGGTGAGGAAGATCCCACAGCAGGGCTCGGGGCTGGGCTCTAGCAGGGACCCTGCATGCATTTTCCAGCTCTCCCTGCCAGAAGAGCCTCTGGGCTCTGGCAGATCAGGCTGCAGCCCTGGACTGAGGCAGACACTGCGTCCTGGAGAGGAAGCAGCAGCATGTGGGGAGCCAGCCCCCCCAGATCACACGGGGTCATGCTCTGGTGCTGTGCAGAGAGCGGACCCCTGCCTGGCCATCCCAGGGCTGGATCTGACTGGGTTACCCTCCCCAATCCTGATCCTGACCCTCCACCTGCGCAATGATGTCCCAGCCTGGCCTCAGCCCACCCCCATCACCATGGCCGTGTCTGATGATTTGTAGGTACGCCCCACACCAGGCTCACTCAAAGACAGGTATGGGGTAGGGACTGGGATAAGCCCCACATATATTTCTGTTATTTGTGAGGTCTGACACAGGAACAGACTTTACTGTAGGGGAACATGGTAGATGTGTTATCAATGCTTTCCACAAGGCCTGATCCTCAAAAGCCACAGATGCTTCTCCTTTCCTTCTTTTTGTGGATGGTTTTGAGTCATCAATGTTGTTCCCTATTAGGAGTAAAACTGATTGTAAACTGCAGGTGGTTTGGGTTCTTCTCTCTTCAGTCTGAAGGTCCACATCCTGTTAGTTCACTGATGATCAAGCTGGACCTTCAGGAAACAGCCTATCGATCATGTTTACAATGATCAAATCAGCTCCCCGGGGGAGTCCCCTGGGGACTCAGCCCCATTGAGAGGAAGGTATGTGACTGGCTGGCTTTATTATGTGCAAAAAATGTACACATCTCCTGAACGCTATAACAGGAATTCTGTATTAGAAAGCATCTAAGATGTGTTGAGATGGCTCTGTGAGACTTAAGTCCTGCTGCAAGGGCTAGAGCAGTGTAGGCAGAGTACGTGCAGCCCACACGTGACGTGCTCTTGGAAGCTCAGTGAGTGGTCTCACGGAGCTGGAACTCATCACCTCCCCTTGATCATGCCATGCTGAGTTTGGATTCATGAGCTGCTGAGTGACTTGACAGTCCCTTGGAAACCTTCTCATTTGAACTCTGCTATGTGGTTCCCAGTGAAGTAGGGCATCATCAGTTGAACTAGCAGCTCTAACGTTAGACTGTGTAAGAGCTAGGCATATGACTGAGTGCGCTGGCTTTCAGTATTTCTTCAGCATTTTTCTAGTGCATGCTGTACACCAAGACAATGAATCTCAAAAAATGATAAATTTCTAAGGAGGAAGAGGCCAAACACAGATTGCTAGGCTCCAGTGCATTTCAGGATAGGGGAAAATAAAAGAAATACTCACATCAGCTGCAATAGGAAGCCTCTTGCACCACATGTGCATTTTTGAAGCTTGGCTGTTTTCTTTCACTGTTTTTGCTTCTTTCATATGGCAAACAGAGGCAGCGAGAGTGTCTACATCTAATGCTGGGATTTTATGAGGACATTATCCAGTGAGTGATGGCTGTGGCCATTCTTCTGGGTGCTTGCATCTTTGCTGGCTGCACAGGGGCAAAAAAGCCTTGTTTCCAAAGCCCAGGGAACCGCCAAGGAAACAGGGGGGACATGACTTAGTGCTGCAGCTCCTCCTGCTCATAGCTTGCTAGAAGACTTTACCTCATTAATGTCACAACAACTGTATGTAAGACAGTTGGACTTGATGTACTGATGTTCCTGAATAGATTTTAGGAGAGACCTAGCTTCCAGAAACCTTTCAGTGTTGCTGCTCTACTGGGGTAATGCAGATAGATACACCAAGCACTGTCCTGCAGTGCTGAGGATGGTGGTTCCTGGGAAAGGATCTCCATGGAGCTCTGGGCCAACCAGTCCCAGCTGAGGGGTGAAGAGCAACCTGGGTGACAGCACCCATTCTGAGACCACTGATTGTGTTGGACCATAGAGCAATCATGCTCCTCCGTCCAGGGAAACAGAAAGAGGCTGTATAAACCACAGAGTTGAAAGAGGAGCTGTCCAGAAGAGCTACAACAGCACAGGGAGCCAGGACTCATGGAAGCTTGAGACCATGCAACTCTGTGAACTGGAAAGGGGCTCAGAGAAGTGCTTGGTGGTGGTGTCTTCAGGGACAGGAGATTGAGGGACTGTGAGTGAGCCAGCCTTGGGCTTATGGCCCAAAACGAGGAGCACCCAGGGAATTCCCTCCCATACCCAAAGACCCTGCCTGGCCTAGCCAGGGACAGGAATAAGTCTTCTCCATCCAGCTCCAGGAAGACCCTCTTACCCCCAGTACTGTTTGCACTGTCCATCTGGAGGTGCTTCACATCCTAGAAGGCACTGAGAAAGTGGAGCTCAGAGCAGAGTAGCAGGAAAGGTTTGGAGGAGAAGGGAAACGAGCCACATCTGGCTGGTTCAGGAGCTTGTCAGATGTGGAAGGTCTATTGGTGGGGTTCAACAGCAAGATTGTTGCAGCTGGGTCAGTTCAAGGTAGTAAGCAGAGAGATTTCAAGGCAATAAGTAGAGAGATTTCAAGGCAAAAGTGATGCATAATGGAGGCACCCTGGGGTGTGCTTAGGCAGGTGAACCAGGGGTGTTTTCCTCAACATCCACCACTGGATCTGGAGGGAGAGAGGAGTGAGGCAGACCTGGGAAGATTTTGGAGGTGTTTGTGGGAGCAGGTCTACGGGGGCCTGAGGCTGGGCCAAGGCACCTAGAAGACTCCATTGAGCCTGGACCTGCTGCTTGCAGGCAGATGAGTGAGGAGCAGACCTGTGGTTGGTGGAACGCTCTCTTTCCAGACAGGAAGCTTTTTGCACCACATGTGATTTCCCTACGTGGCTGTTTCATTTCTGTGTCTGCACCTCTTCTGCGCTGGGTTATACAGCAGCTCAGACCAAGTCCTGCCCAGGGACTTCATGCCAGCATGGCCGTGCGAGCGCTGGCTCTGGCCTTTCTCCTAGTCCTTGCCCCTCTGCTGCTTGCACGGGGACAGAAGGACCCTGGTCCCAAGAACCAAGGGGGAGCCAAGGAAGCAGGTAAGACTGGGTTGTTCCTCTCTCCTACAGAAAAGGTTTTGCGGCTCTTCCCTGCACATTTGCTATGTGTCTTTACCCTGTTGAGCTGACAGCTGCTGTGTTGGGGAGGGCTGAAGCTGGTGTCACCCTGAGACACCTGGGCATCCGTGGGGTTGTGGTGGGGCGAAGCTCTGTTTGGGGATGGAGGGAAGCAAGCCTGGGTGTGCTGTGAAAGCCTCCACAAGTGCAGGAGCTGCAGTGTCCCTCCAGGGAATGGGTAGTGTCTCTGGGAGCAGGAGGTGGATGGCTCTTTTTGCACAGTGGACAGACAAAGCAGGAGCAATCGGAGCAGCAGTGGCCTTCCTGGGGCAATCCGGGCAGCATCCTTATCACAGGGGAAGGCAGTGCTGATGTCCAGGAAAGATGGGGAGCTGTGAGATGAATGCCTGTGTTAGCTGGGACACCTGCTCTCTCCTGTAGTCCCCACGGTCGGGGGAGCTGTAGTCCGGTAGGATTGTTCTTTAACAGCATTGTTCTGTTGTTTCTCCATGCCAGGAGGGCTAGGGCCACCTCCTGGGTCTCTGCTGGCCTCTTCCTATGGAGAATGTGGGCCTTCCTATGGAGAATGTGGGCTTTCCTATGGAGACTGTGTGCTGTGCCCTGGGGTTGCTGGTACCTGTTGGGGTCCCCTTGGGGCACAGCCCAAGCAGCTGCTCTTTGTACCAGGGGCTAGGGGCCCTGAGGTGTGAGTAATTCTCTCTGCAGAGAAATGGAAGCAGAAGTGGCTTGCCAAGTCATTGGATGGGTCATGAGTCATGTTACCCATCGCTGGTGGCTGGAGGGATGCTGCCCTTCCAGCAATGGGCAGCCCTCAAGTATCCAGGATAGGGTGGAGCCTGTTCCCCTCAACTCAGCAGCAGCTCCTGCCCCTTTCTCCCATTCTCCACAGCTCATCCCTGAGAAGCCCTGTTGATAGTCACAGCTCTCGCCTCCTTAGCCTGAGGAGTCTCAGCTGGAGGAGGCAGTGGTGGGCTTGGTAGAGGCATTGGCTCTGAGCAGCTGGGGGAGATTTCTTGGATCTGTGTCTGCAGAAGAGGTGTGGGGCACCAAACTGCAGTTCTGACTGTTATCCTCTACCGTGCTGCTGGCGTCTGCAGCACTGAAGGAGGCCATTTGAGTCTGGATTATGGGTAGCCCAGCAGAGCTGCAGGCAGGGGCAGAGCTTGCCTCTGCCTGCACCGAGAGGAAAACCCTGGTGCCAAGCCAAACCCCTGCAAGGGCTTTTGCTGTAGTCGGTGCTCTTCAAGTGTCATCAAGGAATCAGGTCTGCCACAGATGAGTGCTTTTTTTCACTTTCTCTTTGTGTCTCGTGTCCTTGCTGTTCAGAGATAGCCATCAACGTCTGAATGACTTGCATGCATTTTCTAGACTGGACATAGACAACAAAGGCACTCATTACTTGCTGACAGTGCCTATGGCCCAGTTTTGCTCACCTTCCTCTCCCTGCTGAGGTCTGCATGACAGTCTCATGCTCCCATTGCTCCCACTTGCTATGTCCTCTCTTGTGCCTTGGCCTTGCTAGCTGTTTCCTCACTAGCTCTTCTGGTAGATTTCTACTCACTTAAGATTGTAACCTGCTTGTCACTGTGTCCTCTTGCATTGCAGGTCATCGTCAGCCTCCTGACTGATGCACACAGTGCTCTTACTGCTTCCCTCATCCTCCTTCTGTGTAAGGGTGTTTCTGCCCAGCCTTTCAGATTGTAGAGCATCCTGGGGACAGCCAGGCTTCAGGACCTGTTTCCTGACAAGTACCAATAGGAAAAAAATGTTCCTCCCCACAGGTGGAAATCTGCTCTTTCAAGCGTTGTTCATTTTCCCACAGCAGAGGGAATTCCTCCCTGCTGGCTGGTGTCCCTGGTCAAATGCTTGGTGCTGGGCAGGAAGCCAGGACTCTGCTGGGGTGGGAAGGATCCTGGATGTCACTCTGGGGCAGGAGTGTGATGACGTGTGTGCTGCTTCAAGGGTTTTAATGGCGGGAGCAGGAAAGGTGCATGCCAGGGATGCTTAACTAGGCTTGGACTGAGTCAAGAGTTTTGGGTCTGTCAAGACTTTTTGCTGTCAAGTGAAGTGTGTGATCTGAGGGTGCTGGGAGGGATCCAGCTGTGGGGGAAGAAGTTTCGTATCTGGACAGCACACGTTGTCTCAAAGGATGGGGGTGGTGGCCACTGTCCTTCGCAGTGGAGGGCCAGGGTGCAGGGTTGAGATGATGGCATGAAAACCTGCTACCACATAAAGGAAGTGTGGTGATGCCTCTGTTCCCATGTAAGGGAGTGCAGCCCTGTGAGTGCTGGCTTGCAGGAAGTGGGCAGTTGTAGAGACGCGTGTAGCTGAAGAGAGGTGTTTCATGCTCATTTAGGGGAGGCCACTTCCTACCCTGATGCCTCCTCAGGGACTCAGTTTGCACTGGGTGAGCAAGTCTGGGTAGCATGTCTGCTAGGGCAGTACAAGGCAGGCTCATTTTGGGTGAAATGTACAGAAAAGGCTGGGTGCATAGAGTGGGGTGTGAGGTTTGTGGCCGGTGAACATAGATGTGGAGGTCTGAGGGCAGGTTGTCAGTGCTGGCAGCTGCTTCATGGGGGCAAGTCGGGAGGGTGTGCAATGGTAGCAGAGGCCCACTGGATCTGGTGCCCCTGCCTGTGGGGAGGAGAGTGCAGGAGAAAGCAGCATCCACTGGGCTGCTGGATCCCTCTGTCTGGGATGCCTCTGCAGCACATGTGTGGGCAGGAGGTCCTGCAGGTAACCCTTCTGCACTGCACCGGAGGGTGCAAAGGGGTTAATGCACCTGGGGTCTGGGGCCTCATCCTGGGAGGTGCTCATCTCTGCCACGCCTCTGAAGTGAGGGGAACCGGCACCCCTCTGGACAGGGCCTCCTCACCCCTGAGGATGCTGCTGGATCCTCAGGGCTCTCCCTCATGGCCTTTGCACACAGGCAGATGTAAAGCTCCCTCCGACTGGCACCCCAAGCTGCAGTTTACCCCGAACCGGAGTAGCTATGCCTTGAACGATTTGGTGCAGCTGAGCTGTGCTGGGGAGTTTGTGCCATCGGTCCCCCAGATCAGGTGCATTTCCAGAGGGACCCAGAACTTGTGGAATGGGACTGCCACCTGCAAGGGTAAGCACAGCCCCGCACCACCCTGACCCCGGGGTCCTGAGCTGGCGTCAGACAGGGTGACCATCCAGGAACCAGGGACCTGGATGCCTTGGCTTTCCCCCCTGTCCTGGCAGTGCCAGGGTGCTTTTTGTCTCAGCACCTTGTCGTAGGCAGCTGCTGGGGGTCTGTGCTCCTGGGGAGGGGTTCAAAGGCAGGAACCATTCCTGGCCAGCATCTCCTGCCTCCACATGGAGAGCTGCAGCTGCGAAGCTGGGAGGAGGAGGAATAGCTGGAGGGGTTCAGCTTGAGGCTTTGGCACTTTGCATGGCTTGTTTCCCTGGGAAGGTTCTTTGCGGTTTGGGTGAGCTCTGGTGGGGGAGGCTGTCCCTGCTGCACTGCTCACCTGGGCACAAGGCGGGCCAAGAGAATGGGGTCTCAAGAACCCCACGGCTGGGTGGAACCCAGGGGAGGCATGGGAGTCCTGGAGATAGGGGTGATGGTAAGTTCTGTGCCCCTGAACACGGCCTGGGCACACAGTGGGAGTAGAGGGACTTGTGTGTGTCAGGGTGAGTGGTCAGAGCCATGGGGAGGAGAGACCTGTCCCAGGCCTCCTCTTGTCACCTCCCAAAAATGCTTCTCACCCAATTTTTCCTCTGACAGAAGCGTGCCAAAGGCCTGCTTGGTGGGACCCAAGACTCCAGATGGCACCAGTCCGTAGGAATTACAAAAAGAATGAAGAAGTGACTCTGAGCTGCAACAAAGGTTTCCAGCCATCCTTCACCCATGTGAAATGTGCAGGGGAAGCTCAGCCATTGAATTATTCTGGATCTCTAAACAGAGATGTGTGGCTGGGGAAGAGAAGCGGTGATGCCTGGATCTACATTGAGGGGAGCGTTGTGTGCATTGGTAAGCAGGGTGTCAGGAGGTGCCTCTTATGGAGCTCCCTGGTCAAATCCTGTCCCATTCATCCATCTCTGAGCTCCTACCATCACCACTGTGGCCAGGAATGCGTTTCTGATGCCTGACTGGGGCCACTGAGGTCTCCCTTTTTTTGGTACTTGAGACCATTCTCCCACAGAATTCTGGTACATCCTCGTCCATCACCTGCCTGGGCAGGCCCCATCCCTGGATGACACTCACGCACAAGGAGAACCTCATCCCAACAAGCCTTGCTGGGGGGGTTATGGCATGGCAAATGGATGTGTCACCTTCCCTCTCCCTCCAGTGCCCATAGGGATCCCTGGGGATTGCTGATACCCCACCACCTACCCCTGCCGCACCTCCTCCTCATATCCCAGCCCAAATAACAGCTGTTTTCAGCTCTGTCAGAAATGTGCCAAAGACCCCGGTGGGACTCCAGACTCCGGCTGGCACCAGACCAGGAGAATTACAAGAAGGATGAAGAAGTGACGCTGAGCTGCATCCGTGGTTTCCAGCCGTCCTTCACTCAGGTCAAGTGTTCGAGCGAGGTCCAGACCAGCAGCTACAATAATCCTGTTTACGGAGAAGTTTGGCTTCGAAGGGACAGCATAGGACGCTGGATCCACATTCCATCCGATGTGGAGTGCCTTGGTAAGGGAGGCATCAGGAGCTGTCCTGGCTGCCCTGCTCTGCCCTCCCCTTGCTGAGCAGCAGCAGGGGAAGGCAGGCTGTGTCTGCACAGCAGGTCTCAGTGCACAGGAGGTTTTGGGCTCTCTGGCTGCCTAGGGAAATGGTGGGTGCTGCTGAAGGCCATGTGGAGGCAGCCCCTGAGCCTGGCCCGTACTCGCCACAGGGCTTCAGGGGCGCCCCTGTGGGGAGGGGGCTG